CAAGTTGCCATGGTTGAGAAACACTGCCTTACTGAGTCAGGAGGAACCAGCCTGAAGCTATTCCAAATCCTACCTCTTTTCTCGGGGCTTAAGGAATGCTTTGGCCTTCATTGTTTCTGTAACAGCTCCTGAATATTTTCTTCAGGGCCATCTCCATGGCTCTCTACCCAACAATTACACCAATCTCAGAAAAGTATCTTTAACCCTCATCTGGAGAAAACCCAGAATAATGCAAACCCCCAAGAGAAATCACCTAGCTTCGTTTCTAGTGAATTAAGGCAGAATCTCTTTGGATACTTGAGGGCCCTCTTTCCCAAATTTCTCCCTGCTGGGCTGTGCTGCTGTTGTTGAAACAAGCTGTCAGCTGACTCAACTGCTGCTCTCTCTTTCATTCCTTTCCCAGTCTCCCCACAGCCTTAGGATTTCCTGAATGTCTCCCATCTAAATACTAACCAGGCCGGATCCTGCTTAACTTCTGAACCCAGAGAACCTGCTGTTGCCATCTACTAAGACAGTGTTTCTCAACCTTGGCAGCTTTAAGATGTGTGGACTTCAACTCCCAGAATTCCCCCCCAGCATGCTGGCTGGGGAATTCTGGAAGTTGAAGTCCACACATTGTAAAGCATTCCGGCTGGAGAATTCCGGGAGTTGAAGTCCACCCATCTTAAAGTTGCCAAGGTTGAGAAACACTGTACTAAGACAAAGTAGGCAGGGATGTTCAGGGAGAGCTTTTCTATTTAAAGTTAAATTCCTGAGCATCTGTCTTTCTGCAGCTTCCTCTGTACAGGAAGGACACCACAGTAGAAATATATGCAGGGAGAAGGTTTGCAGTGGGGAAAATAACTTGGTCTCCTTTGTTACTTTTCCCCAAGCGCCTCCACCTCCTAGTGGCTCCTTGCACTGAGGGGGGGCTCCAGGTACTCTTTTCACAGCCACCCCCTAATTGCTCCTCCAAGAATGAGGAAAATAAATTGGAATTCAGGCTTTTCTGCAAGAGAGTTTAACTCTTCTGCAGTTCAGGATTTCGTCTTGCAAAGAAACGGGAGTTGATGCACGTCAGTATGTCCACCTGAAGATGGCCAGGGCCATCCAAAAGCTGCTTAGCCTGGGTGGTCTTTATGAGAATGTGCAGAATGAGTGCAGATATTAACATTTTGGCTTTGCCTTCATCTCGGCTGGGACAGGCAGGACGGGCGCCTCAAGTACTTTTCCTACCGTTCTCAATCCCGTGCCAATGGTCCCAAATTTCCATATATCTGTTTGGTAGCTGCCAAAATCTTGGGGGCAAGGGTTGGCCAAACGTGGCATTCATTTTGGAAGTCCGCTTCCTACATCGGAAGCAAAAACAGCTCCTGGCTTGTGACTCAGGCAGGCGCTTACCTGCGTGTCATGGAAAGAGAGGGCCGGGGGAGCTGAATGGATATACAGCTTTGTAAACTCACCCCTGTTGTTCACCTGGGCTTAGGAGTGGGAGGTTCACTTCACCAGCATGCTGGAGTCTCCTCCGGAGGTGTTGGGAGTTTTCAAGCCCTCCACGCGCCCAACCCTGAGATAGGGGCCTGCACTGTTGTCTTCAAGCTCTGGTCGGTCTCCAAAGGCTGCTGTGACGTGTGAAATCTGACTGCCTTGTTTCTGGGTTTTCTTTTGCTTTGGCCAAACCAGAAGAAGTAAAGGGAGTGGCGGAGGTTGCACCCGCAGAGGACACGGCAGTGCTTCCCAGCAAGGACCTCCCACCAAGTCCGGAGAAGAAAGCCAAGGTGAGGATCTGTCTGCGTTTCTTGCTTCTAACATGCGTGACCTTCTCCCTGCTTTTTCTAAGCTAATGCTAAGGTCTGTTCTCTGAGATGATCATTAAGGAGAAACCTGTAGAGCAGTGTTTCTCAACCTGTGCAACTTGAAGATGGGTGGACTTCAACCCCCAGAATCCCCCAGCCAGCAAGGCTGGCTGGGGATTCTGGG